CGAGAGAAGGAGATTGGGCTCTCGTGAATTGTACCGCACACGCAGTTGAAACAAGCCTTGCGGTTCTGTGATTGTATCCGTTTTGTTTGGATCCATTCTGTCCTGCGTTTCTCCTGAATTTTTCGGCCAACTTGGGTGATCATGGCCTTCGTTGCAGCGCCCCATGGGTTGGTTGGTTCCTCTTCACCCGAGTCACAGCCAATGGTGAACAACGTGAAGGATCTTGAGGTAGTTTGCATGATTTCTAGGCGCTTGGTGACGGAAAGTTGTGGCTCGAGGGCGATGATTATTTTTTGTTCCTTTTGCATTCACGAGGCGTGCCAGTGTCTCAATCTTGCGGGTCTAAGCGGTAGTTGAGGGTCATGTCTAAGCACAACTATAAGGGTTCAAACTGGCCGTATTGTGTGTTTGACACGGATGCATTCGACACGGTTGCAATTGTGTTAGAATTGTTTGTGGTCTGGGTGAATTCCGGAAGAGGGCTGCATTTTAGTGGGCGGTGGGTGATAAGTGTAATCCGGCAACAAAAAGTTGAGTTGTTGCGAGAGGCTCTCGTAATTTTCGACGCTTGGTTGGCGAAATCTTCTCATAAAAAATTTCACATTTTTTAAATCTATTGTTTATTATCTTATTGACGATAGGAATAAAGGTCATTTGGTTGGAGTGAAGCATGTGGATTCTCTAAACCTGTGCTCCTTGGAAAGTTTTCAACAGTCGTTTGATTTTAGGTGGTTCATGCGAAATGCTTATATGTTGTGCCGCTGATGTTGTCAGAGGGCGGAGTATGGTACATTTAGCAACAGGGGGTTCCAAGTAGCGTTAGGTTCTGGGAGCGAACCAATTGACGAGAAGGGTGTGGTTTTCAGTTGTTGGGATAAGTGGACTGGTCGCTCAGCGGAGTGTGCAACTCTGGCTTTCTTGTTCCTGCAGCTGCCTCAGATCATACTCAACACAAAGAATCTGCTGGCAGGAGAGTTCGCGGCTCTCTTCGCCGTGCCGTGGATGGTGCGTCGTCTTGTTTACAATTCAATTGTTCGGTGGTTGATTGCAAGTGGGGCATATATCGTCGGATACTTCTTCTTTTTTTTCTGTTTTTTTTCTTTTCTGGACTTTTTTTTCTGTCATCAGGTTGCTTAATGGCTGGGACCAGGTTGCTGTTTACAGGGACAACTGACCGGGTTACTCGGAAACTTGTCCTTACTTTCATATTTTGCGAGCAAGAGGGAGAGGGGGGCGATGATCGTTCAAGGGGTGGGCGTGGGATCTACCCTGATTGTGCTGATGCAACTGGCAATCGCCGGGGCAATGCCGCTCCCTGCTTTCGGTGTGACAACCCTAGCAGTGGTCCTGGGTTACATCTTGAATATATTGAACTACCAGAAAATTGTGAGACCGTCCATCTGGCAAGTGTGGGAAGAAGCTGTGACGATCGGTGGTGTGACCGTCCTTCCTCAGGTATGGTCGGGGTGCTTGTTCACATTGTGGTGTTTTCCACCCATTCTGAACCACCTCCTCATTCTGCGAAGTGCCTGTATTGGGCAAATGTGAGATGGAGAAGACAGATACTGTTGTGGATTGAGAATGGAACCAGCAATTCCACAGCTTGAGAGTGGAAGCATTTTCTTGGCTCGTACATGTAAATTGCAGCATTGCTGAGAGTTCGGTGGGTGCAGGTGATGTGGTCGACGTTTGAGCCATTTCTACCTCATTCGTTGCTGCCTGCGATCGTATTTGGAGGTGGGATTCTGTGCTTGGTGATCCTGGTAGGTCCCTTCTGTTAATCTTCTCACTCCTATTTTCCGTGTTCTTAACGAAAATGTACATGCTTGAAATGCTGAGATGGAATGGCAAGTACTCGCGCTGTAGCGGTTAACATTGGTGATGAGTTTGTGATAGGAAACCCATGGAGAAGACGTTGAGTTTCACGAGATAGGGGAAATGCGGGCTTTAAGTGTGTAATATATGAAGATTAAGTCGTCATCGGCTGTAACCTTGCAGGCTAGGTTGGGAAAGCTTTCTGAGAGAATGCTATTACATGTGGGTGGTGCGTCGGCTTGGACGGCCACCCTCCTCTTCATGTGGGGACCAGTCGCACAAATGGTAAAACCTTGATTTCTTTTCCATTTTGGACACGAACGGGTCAGTTCTGATGTGTTGAAAGAGTTGGTTGTGAGCAGTGTGAAGTGAACTAATCACCTGATGTTTAGAATGCTCTGCGCTGATATTATACAATTGTCTATGCGCAGTGGACCAATTTTTTGAACCCAGCCAACATCAAAGGACTTTCATCTCAGACTGTTTTGCTGGCTATGATTGGGAACGGTTTGTTACTGCCTCGTGCTCTGTTCATCAGGGACTTGATGTGGTTCACAGGTTCGTCATGGGGATGCTCAATGGCCGGCGAGGGCATTCTGATCAGCATGTACATGTAGGTTTCCACAGCGTCCCAGCGTCCGCTTGCCGTTTATTAATGAGCGCTGGTGGAGTAGTTTTGGAGGTTTTGATTGTGATGGTCCGATTGCCTATGATTCTGTACACAAGTAACTAAGTGCACTCGTTGCATGTTGTAACCTTTTAAATTGTTTCCGCTGTGCAGCAATAACTGCGTGAGTGCTGGATTGTTCTGGATAGTTTCGACGGGCTATGTTTCCGGGATAGGTGGTCACCCATTCTTCTCATGGTTTTGATGTTTTCGTTCCGCTTAGACTGCATGGTTGGTGAGTTTCCGTGTTTTGAATGTTTGGAAGATATTTGAATGCACAAGTGATACCTTAACTAATGATTGTGCTGGTAGTGTGCAGTTGGCATGTTGTATAAGGACCGACAAGTGTATGGACTTTCCTCAATAATCAGCCCACTCCTTGAGCTTGTGTCCGGATCAAGGCGATACTACGTCTGAAAAAGAGGGAGTGAGATTTTTGTCTTGCTTGCATGAGAAGATTACTAGCATTGGCACCTCGGTGTCGATGCCAATGGACTATTGTGAGAAGCAGCATGTCAACCTGGAGCATGATCAAAGCTTGTGGGGATTTTCGGATATGTGCAATATCAGAGTACCATCTTTAAAACCAGAAGCATTGTGGGGGAACTGCACACTAACCATTGCAGGAATAAAGCGGTTTGGGTATCAATTAGCAGGAATTATAGCAGGTTGGGTAACCATTGAAATAATGCACTAGTTCCAGTGTATGGAGGAAAATTGAGAACAGTCCATGTGGAATAATCCAAGTATTTGTTTGCGAGTAGATTTGATTTGTGTAGAGTATTGGAGGCACAGTTCTGGTTCTGGTGAATGGGGTCACATTGTTGAGCATGAGGTTGAATAGAGGTGATAGGCGACAACACAGCTACATATGAGGTATTAGGAATGCGATTAAAAAGTGCTATCATTGGATGGTCACAGCTGGGTATACTATATAGCGAGCTGGAGGTGTGAGGATGAGAGTTTGTAAATTTGGGTTCATTGAAGGGGGATGATGGAATTCGTCTTCCTCACAATTTGTTGTGAGGTCTAGTGGAGGGTCCTATGGATGTACAGTATGAATGGGAAGCGACATTTTTGTGTAGAACGGTTAATGAAAAAAACATCCATAGATTATTTGTTGGAAGCCTATTTCATCATAAGTTGTTTGCTATTTAAAATCCTGCTTCTTGCATTACTTTTTGGATGGGGGTCCCAGTTTTCAGTGTTCAATTCGTTTTGTGTTACGAGAGGGTTGTTCAATGCCAGAGACATGGGCCGCAAATTTTGATAAAGACGTGTGAAAATTTAGTTGCTAAATTTAGTAGTGAGGGCAAGCTTTAAAAGGAGAGAGGATGATGATGCAACTTTTTCTATTGTTGACCCCAACTTTGCAAGGTTCACTCATGCAAAGAAAACAAGTTTGTCTTAGATGTAAAATGGGAGTTTTATTCAACACAATGATCAACTCGCTGTTCCGACACTGATCAGCACTTATAACCCTGAACCCTAAACCTATTTTAAATTTTTGACTTTACAATTTTAATATACTTTAATAAAGAAAAGAGTTATTTCAAAGATAATACCTGTCACTTGGTAGCATAAAATTTCATAGTCAATTTCATTTATTTGTCCAAAGACATTTTAAATGTCCATATCAAATTAATTTATTGGAATGATTTTATTATTATCAAAAGATTATAATTAAATTATTGGTTTATTAGAATTATTTTTAAAAAACTATTTTTATAATAATACTATAAATATAAGAGTTTTCTTGATTTTTTATTCTTTAAAATATAAAAAATAATAATATTAAATCTTTTTGTTGTACTTGCTGTTAGATAAAGAAATGATATCACATATATATATATATATAGATATAGATATATAAGTTGCAGCTTTAAACATCTTTTAGAACTTTCTAATATCCACTAATGCATTTATTATTTTTTATAGATCTCCAGAACTTGCTATAACCTTCTAGAACATCCTATAGTCTTTTTAATCCATGAAAAATATAGTCTTTTAAAAATCTCTACAATAGGTCTTTTTTATTTTAAGCAAATTCTCTAATTTTTATAGTCTCCCTTTACAGCTTCTACAAGACTTGGTTGGTATAATATAAATAAGAAGGCAAAACAAAGCATTTCTAAAATATGTCAATATTAGCATAAAAACAATCCAAGCACCATCTTATTACTAATCTTTGATATTCTTTTATTTCATATCTTCATTTTATTTTTATTTTATTTTATTTTTCATCTTTTGATCCTTTGTACTAGTGTTTTGTACTAGTATTTTTAACATTATATATATATAGATTGTAATAGGAGTTAGAATACCTATGTAGTATAGATTTGGATAGAATAAAATATAATATATGAAGAATTTAAATATATATATATATATATATATATATATACTATAAAAATAAAAAAGTCAAATTATTTGAAGTAAATACTATAAGTATCAAGTAGGATTTTTTAAATATTTTGTACTTTCACTAATTCAAACATTATATTAGAATTTTCAAAAGAAATCCCTTGTAATATATAATAATCTTAAATATTTTACTTATATATTTGAGTGACTTTATCTTTGCTATGAAATTTGTTTAAATGTTACATATTTTTATCTAAAATGTATCATCTATTACAAAAAATTAGCATAGTTATTATATTAAAATTTTAATTTTAAATATTTAATCAAAATATAAATAAATGATTTTTTTAAAACCAAAATTAAGATATTTATTATACAGCAATTTATATATATATATATATATATATATATATGATCTTAAAATGTTGTTAGTTTACTTAATGTCTTGAATCTTTATTATATATAACTTTTAATATTAAGAATTATTTGTATTATATTTTAGAGAATTATTAATGCAACATCTCCAAGTAATATTATTACAGCCGATGTGCCCTCCACATAACTTAAATTTACCAAAAAGTGCACTTTTATGCCTAGGGCATGTATGGCAATCCAGTATTTTAATCCCAATAATGACCCAAAAATATAACAAAGTGAAAAAGAAGTTTTTATATTTCTTGCAGCCAAATAGTAAATTTTAAAAAAATTAAAAATAGAATTCAAAAATTTAAAAATTTTAGAGCAAAATATTTTGTTTTAAAAAAAAATAACTTGTGACCTATTTTTTTATAAAATATTCATTCTCTCTCTTTCAATCACCATCTTATCTTAAAGCAAAAAAGTTAAAAATGTGCAAAAAAAAAGAGGCATATTATTAGCTAGTTGTCTACAAGAAGGTTACATGAGGTGTAGCAATATCAATTGGGGATGTAGCATTAATAATTATCTATATTTTATCATCAATATCATTTTTTGTTATTATTTCTAATTTAAAGCTAAAGCAATTTTTAAAATTTACAGTATTTTGGAAAATCCACATAATTGCATTATAATATATCTTATAATTATTGACAATCTAACTTTATTTTAATTTTTTAGTAGTTGGAAATTAAGATTTAATTTATGATGATTTTTTTTTTTATCAAATTTACATTGAAAATAATCAAATATTTTATTCATAAGATCACATTGTATGTTTTTTCAACTTAATATGATAACAATATAGTATTGTGAATTTACTTATTTTAACCAAAATAATAAAAAGAAATGTTCTAGACATACAAAAATAGAATTAAATAGATAACATGTACCATCTAATTAATAATTAATTTTTTAAACATAAACTTTAAATATTTTTTTGAATTAGCTATTCTAAAAATATTCTAAAAAGTATTCTTTTGAACTTTATATCTATTAAGCTATATTAAACTAAAAAAATATTAGTGTTTAATTTTTAATTGTAAAATTTTAAAGATATAAATCTTTAATATCTATAAATTAATTTATTGTCATCATTTACATTTGATACAAAAAAGAAATGTTTTACAAAGAAGTTTGTAAAAAATGTGATTTGTAGTATTCAATTAATATAATAAATTATATTTCACTATAGACAATTATTGTTACAATCTTAAATCAGTTATCACACAATTATCCTAATTCTTTAAGATTTATTTCAATATATATATATATATATATATATATATATCTTTTTTTAATGGATTTGATTTTTAAATAATTTAATTTTTCTATTTTTATATTTTTTCTTTTTAAAATTAATATGTAGAGATTATCCTATAACCATGTATAACAAAATCCTGCAAGTTCATCATTTTTATAGCAGTAACTGATTTTTAAATTTAAATATATATTTTTTTAAATGTTAGCTTCTCTTATCCATATTTATATTTCACAGAAGTTTATTAATTAGTATAAAGGGAATTTGAAATAAAGCATTGAAATTCAAAGCATATTCTCACTACCAACAATTTTTTAATGATATTTGAAATTTTTCTTTAAGTGACAAATACAAATTGTTTTTAATTAACATCAAAAAATATTCATTTGGAAAAATCCCTTGAATGGGGTTGTTGGGGATAGGGGACAAGGGATAGGGGCTAAGAATGGGGAATGGAGGATGGAAGATTGGAAACAAAGGACAGAGCCTGGGGATGGACAAAATCAATCATGAGATAGCAAGGGGTGTCACTTTAATAAATCCCTCTTTATATTATATTTTAATATCAATCTCATTTTTTGTTATTATTCAAATTTAAGGCTAAAGCAATTTTTAATATTTATAGTATTTTTAAAAATCCACATAATTGCACTACTATATATCTCATACTTATTAGTAGTATAACTTTACTATAATTTTTTAATAGTTGTAAATTAAGATCTTAATTTATGAAGTTTATTTTTTTAACAAATGTATATTGAAGATGATTAAATATTTTATTCATAAGATTACAAAGCATATTTTTGTAACTTAATGTGATAACAATACAATATTGTGAATTTACCTACTTTAACCAAAATAATGAAAAAGAATGTTCTAGACATGTAAAAATATAATTAAATATGTAGTATGTACTATCTAATTAATTTTTGTGGTGTTCAATTAATATAGCAAATTGGGTTTCAATATAGACAATTCTTATTACAATACTAAATCAGTTATCATACAGTTATTTGTTGATAAATCTATGTTTGCAGCAAGAAGATATGGAAATGTATCAAAAAAACACGATTGAATTTTTCCCAGTCTAGATGAAGGTGATAAGTAATACTCATGTTTATATTTGCATGATTAAATAAAATATACTATAAAACACAAAGAAAATCGAGGCATGATCATTTAACATTTACTGTCATTAGATTTCGATATGATCAGCAATGAAAGACATAATAATAAAAAAAAAAACATAGCAAATATGTAAACCATAGAAGGTTGACTAAACTTCATTCCTTATTGAAGTCAGGAATGCAATTTTTCAGATCTAAAAATTTGAACTCGTCAAAACAGGGCACTAAAATTCAAAAATATGCCCAAAATCAAACGAAAATGAGTTTGAAGTGGAAAAATGAATGTGTGTCTCAAAAGCGTAGTGGGACCACTTGGCTTAACAAAAAAAAAAAAAAAAAAAAAAAAAAACGGACGTGCTGTCAAATTAAAAACCAAATCGTTTACACACAACAAATACGTGGTACAATCATTTCTACTGGACATGTAATGCACGTTCACTGTTTCGTGATCAAAATGGTCGGCCTGCTTCACCTATGCCCAACACAACTAAGCTGAGTCCTATAAGAGCAAGATTCATTATCTGCACTCTGTACCAGCTCATCTACCGTGTCAATACTTCCCCAAGAGTGGTTCGCACTTCTGAAATAAATTGTAGAGAGGCATTACCTCAGTCATGTACCGAACCAACGCTCTGATATCCTTTTCAGAGGAATTGAAAATGGTTGTGCAGTTGAAGAATGGAAATATCAGCACAGAAGTATGCTTGTCCAGCACAACATCGGCACATGAGAAGTGTGCTTGTGGTGAGAAAGTCCAAACTGATGGTCTTGGTTTCGGATTGTCAAGTCGAAGAATCCGAGGGATCATATTGCCGGTCCATACTCCTGTTGGAAGCTCCCAAGTCATCACCAGATCTTCGTTTGTTTAGGCTTGCTCGTTGCATAAGTCGCACAAGAGCTTGCACTACTTCCGACATTACTGGGCGAAATTCAGGCTCCGGCTACATAGTTCAAAAGTGAAGATTTTAGTAATGCTCTTTACTTCTGAAGAAAACCGCCTTAATTAGCTAGGTCCTAAAATCTATGTTTAGATCATGATTATGTCTTCTTGTTAGAGATTGCAATTCATCATGCAAAAAAAAAAAAAAAAAAAAAAAAAAAAAACTCATTTCCAGTCATCTTCATGGTCACCAAAAAATTGTAAACTAAAAAAATTCAGGCCATGCGACGAGGAATGATTTCCCACTAAATTTAAGCTTTACCTGTACGCATAATGCGATGATATCTGCAAAGCGGGAAAGGGATTTCGCAGGATAAATCCCCTTCAACGCAGGGTCGACCATCTTCGCTAATGCATCTATGTCATGTAGCTGGGGAGTGGCCCACCTGACCAGTGACTGCTCTGCTCGTAACCTAGTACTGCATAAAAAGTGAGAATACCACGCGTTGCAGGTTGATTAATACATTCCTATCAGTCTTCTAAAGGAGAACTTCATATACGACTTAAAGCACCTATCATGTTACTGCCAAAGTTATGTATTATCCTGTTCAACAAAGGGCAGAAACTACTGCTGGGGAGTCGAAGCAACAACCTGTCTAATGGCTTGCGACCAGTCAAAAGCTCCAGCATAACCACACCGAAGCTGTAGACATCACTCTTAACGGTATAAATTCCAGACATAGCATACTCTGGGGCACTATACCCAAACGATCCCAGCATTTGAGTTGAAACCTGCTCAATCCGTAACGTTAAAAGTCAATCTGTGATACAACACTAATTTTATTATTTGCCAACGCGAGCTCCTTATTGCAGAATGCGCTTACGAATGGACAATGAAAAGATGAAGTGGATATGCAAAAAATTGATCGCTAAGACGTTCTACTTCAATGGCAGCATAATCCAAGTAAGGAAGTTGAATACAAATATTTAACTCCCAAAAATGCGACTGCGGCGTGATCACTAATGGTCAAGCTTTTGCAAACCTGCCGGTCAGAACCGAGAGGCGTGAGGGCTGCGATTCCGCAGTCTGTGAGATGAGGGTTAAGTTCATCGTCCAATAATACATTTGCAGATTTGAAATTACGGTGAACGACTGCTGGCAAGCACACTTCATGCAAGTACCTGCATTCACAAAAAAAAAAAAAAAAAAAAAAAAAAACTGTCTTTAATGTTTCTGGGAACGTAATATACATCATCGTGATATCAATTTCACTCCATTACGGTAGATTCGACGCAGCCCCTTTTATTCTCACAGATTAAACTATAATTATCATAATGTTTCGAACATCGAAACAGAGGAATCACATAAAACACAAGATGGTTTTAGCTGCAAGACTTACTCAAGGGCACGAGCAGCTCCGAGAGCAATCTTCACACGAGCATTCCACGTCAGCCGCTTGGTGTCCTCATCTTTCGTATGAAGTATATCGTTCAGCGTACCACGGCTTATGTACTGATATACCAACAGACGTTGCCCATGCTCCGCACAATATCCAACTAACTCAGTAATATTACCGTGGCGCAATCTAGCCATGCCAGATAAGATCCCAAGGAAATCTTGCTCATTTTGTACTAAGGGTGATGATGAATCCAGTTTCTTTACTGCGTGCACCTGATCACAGACCACATCACACCAATGGGAACTTCAGCATCCTCACACCGAAGTGCTTGATTGTCCACGAACTTCCTGTTCCTGATGTGATCAGGAAATCGTGCTGATCGCATTAAACACAGCTATCTCTAATGCTCACATGCTAAGGTCAAAAACAAAATGAAGTGGTAAGTCAAGCGTATAACTGCAAAAAGTAAGTGATGCTAGATATGGCGTCAATCTGATCAAATCTTCTATACTTTTCAGCTCAGCTCAGTACTGCAATAATGTAGATCTTCAAATACCTGGCCATCCGTAAATTCCCCCCGATATACACGTCCCAAAGACCCTTCTCCAATCAGGTTTTCTTGAGCAAAACTGTTGGTGGCAGCTTGAAGATCTGCCACAGAATAGGCGATAGCTGGAACAATAGCTTTTGCAGACCTTGCAGGAGGCGGTCTACTGGGAGGGGTCTTACTAGGACCATTCTCACCATTTGACTTGAAGGAAGGGGGTGCTTTGAGTTCCTGGGTCTTCATTGGAGAGGCGTTCTTTCTCATTTCTTGCGGACTTGCAATTTTTTCACCGGAAGCCTCAGTGACACCTGACAACCAAGGACCACAACCAATTATTTCTCACATTGGCTGCAAAGTGAAGAGCTAATTACACAGATTTCTGATTCCTGTTCACAGTTATCAGGGGTTATGAGGTAATACACATAGAGCCTCAAATACTTGCAGCATACAAAATGATGCAGTCTTACTCAATAGAGCAATGAAAGGAGCTCTCTTGAGATTCTATTCTAGTTTTATACACATGTTCTCACCTAAGTCTCCAAAACTTTGATTCGACTGAACTGATTTCTCTGCAAGGCATGAATGGAACGGTTACCTTCACTGCATGTTATAAAACTGTCACTAATTTTCATCGTTCTCAAACTAAGGAATTCTCTTTCTCAAGAGTAGAATACTGAAAGCTGTATTTCTTTCTGAGAATATATTTTCCTAAGCAAAGGGATTCCTCTTATCTTGATTTTGGCACCTCTGAATGTGGATATTTATAAAGTTACTTTAAAAGTTCCAACAAAAAACTTAGCTCCAAATCAAGAGAGTTTTTCACATTTTTTAAATAAACAAGGTCAGGAAATTGGAGCTGATGAAAATTAATTCACAGGCTACTTTCCAATATCTTCAGATACAATCAACCACTAAATTTATGAATATCCAGAAATCTCGAGGTTAATCACCTTTTCTGCATAATGACTAAAGCATCAAAATTTGAACAAAAAACACTTAACATACCTTTGAAAAAAATTGGTTGTAGCCAGGAATGCTTACGACCAGCATTGTCTCGTACGCCTCTTTCTCCACGCCTTCTCCATGAAACATACAGGAAACATAGAATAGCAGCAGCAAATAAAAGCAAAACCACAACAGCAACTCCAGCGATTCGCCCACCAGTCCAAAAACCACTCTTTTCAGAGGATTCTACAGCTGCTGCTGGCGTCCTCTGTCGAAGCGGTGGAGGTATCCGTCGGGGAGCGGGTTGCCTTGGTGGTGGTGGAGTATATGGAGGTGGTGGCGGAGCTGGTTGATTGCTGAAGTTATTACCTGAAATTCTGTCGAGATTGAGGAAGAGGCTTCAGAACTTTAATGCTTGTGTTCTAAAGGGTGATTAAAATGGAGTCAAGAAATTCATTTACAAACCACTGTATATGTCAAAACTCATACCGTACGTCGCGTGGGTTGAGATTTGGTGGAAGCCATCCAGTAAACCTATTGTTTTGAAGATTTCTGCAGATCACATCAGTGAATACAACGCTTTATTACGATTTTAATGAAATGAAATTTCAAAGTAATTTCCTGTCGTGGTGGTTTTCATAGTCACGAAAAGTACCAAATACTGGTATTGCATGAGCAAAACGGGATACACAGCATTTCTAATTTGGTACAGACAAAGCAATCTTTGAAATTATCATTAAACAGCTGCACATCCATGACCGACTCACCAGAATCACGAATTAATGAAATTTTCTACACGTAACATGTGCAATCATATTGTGTAACATTTTACTTACAAGTATTGCAAATTTGTCAGGTTTGACATTGATAGAGGTAGATTGCCAGTCAGATGATTGTTTTCCACATTCCTAGAATGAGCAGCGACATAATAGTTAGGACACATTGCGTGAAATCCGAGTAGTAGTGTAATTCAAGTTCACGATATCAAGCTGTTAGTTACCGTTGCAGGTAGGTGGCGCTTTCGATTTGCATAAATTGATTAACTAAAGACAAAACATCAAGTCTCAAGATAGCTAGTGTTACTGCTATTTACGCTAAATACAGAACTGATTTGCAGAATACTCACAAGGACGTAAGAGCAGATAAGTCTCCAATCGATCGAGGAAGTGAGCCTGTCAACTCATTAAATGAAAGGTCCCTGCGACAAGGAAATGTTAATGTCGGCGAATGGCGCAGCAGTCATTTATAATCTTAAAATTCTTCAAAATCTAAAATTATAGTCATGCATTAAAGTGTGTTCAATCACTTCATCAGCTGAGAGTTACTGTTGTTCATAAATATAAATATAGTCTGCATGTTCACGCAGTTTAACATCTCGGAAATATAATTTTCGATCATTCATTATCTCTTACCATTGAGCCTTTAACTGGTATCTCAAAAATTCTAGACAAGGAGCCTAGAGATGAGTTCAGTAGTGCAGCTGGAAAATGGGAGACAAGTACTGATGAGCAGGAATAGTGAATTAAATCTTACAGCAATCTTAGAGATGTGAGTTGCGTCCATACGTCTGGGACACCATTCTGCAGTTTATTGTGGCTAAGATTCCTGTAACACGATGAATTATTGACGAGGTCAAAAAGGACTTCTAAGTTTAAAAAATTGTGACCGAAAATTATTCTACCCTCACAATATAACCAGAAATGATGAAAAATTGAATCTTAGATAAGTCAGAGTTAGACTTACAACTCTGTCAAATTTGTCAATTCCTTGAGAGAGTGAGGAATGTTACCCGTGATTACATTCCCTCCAAGATTCCTACTTACAAACAAGAGTACGGATGTATGCTTTTTAGGGTGAATGTGTCTGAAAGGGAATATATATTGGATGTAAAAGAAATTTGATCTTTCGAAAATCAAAAGTAAATACATATTTATTTAGAACCATAATGCATCACTACAATATTAGCTTTTGAATTTTAGACATGCATTATTTGTAGTTCTCTGAATTGGGAAGGAAGTAACTTACAGCAGTCGAACAAGTGGGGGCAACTGAGAGGGCATATTTCCTTGAATGTTATTGCCACTCACATCACTGCACCAATAAAGATATTATTTAGTTTTCATAAAGCATAATCTTCGCACGGGATCCACATCTAAACAACAAAAATTGAACAAAACCATATTCCTCACCTAGGCATTTCTCACAATCTCAAAAGAATGTTGTAAATGTATAAAGATCCACTATAAGATAGGTCTAGACAGTGTCAGGAATCCAGTACATTCGGAATCTTTCATTTGATGCCTCAAGTAATTCTTGTGTGAAGAAAAATTTACAGCATTAAAGGAGTGAAAGCGTTAGCTTGGAACGAAAAGTTGTGGCTCACAGTATCAATAATTGTTGAAGTGCGGTGAGGGAGTAACCGAGGTTTCCAGACAGACCCTTCTGATTCAAGTGCCTGACATGAATGAGAGGTTAATAGAGCTGAACAATTTGAGAATCCACTTCGTCGAATCTAATCATCAACACTAGTCGCCACTAAAATGCTGGGCTACAACCTCAAATAGTAGACTTAGGTCCTGACCTACCACTTAGTTTTGGATACATATTGGTGCAAACAAACGGAGGTGGTTAGGACAAAAGATAGTGATTAAAGGAAATGCACATACAGCTCTGTGACATTCGACCCTGTGCAAATGACGCCCAGCCAACCACCACCACATGGATCACCTCCGCTTGAATTCCACAGCGTCAGTTGAGCGGGTTCTTCCAATGAGATGTACAAAGAATTTAACGCAGTTACTGCAATGGTACAAGAAAAGCAGTTCAAGCCTGTTTGCCTTATGATCCGATTAACTTTAAGTGCAGATTCGATTGACTTACGAGATTCATTCTTATGAGAATCTCGATTTTCTTGCTATCAAATTGTGAGAGGCTTAAAGAAATGCGAAGAGTAAGTTAATACCGTTGTTTAGAAAAAAAAAATTGGAAAAAACTGAATAAGACCTGACTGCACTACATGCTTGCTGGCGAAATTAAGAACATTCAATTCATCTGCAAAATTTCGTAGTATCTGGCAATGCTTTCAGTCTCAGTTAAGTACTAAACCACTTTGTGACAAAATAATGACCGCAGAATGAATCTGGAGCTACGTACCGTCCTTTGGTTCTGTGATTGCATGAACGCATGTGAGCACAAATAGCACCATGACTAGCCCCAGGTGAAGCTCTAATAGTTTCCAAGCCATATTATAACCGCTGAAATCGCGCCGGTTTAAACTAATATTCAACTTGACCGGTGATTTACGTTGAGACTTGTGCGCTTCTTTCTTCCTGAAGCCATCCGGTTCTAGATAGATAACTGGTACTATCAACGTCTGTTGCTCAATTTAAATTCTCCTGCATCGAAATTAAATGCTGAATTCGGTCAAACTCGTATTAGTAACATATCACTTCAGTCCAATGTTTATATATCATCGACCGCAGTTTCATCTACACATATTTAAGCGGAAATCTTTAGTACATCATGTACAATATCCAACATTTAGAACCGACTGATCACTAAAGGAGGTAGAAAACGATGTTTGCTCTACAGACCACGGATTTCGCGAATCTGTATATTCAAAAAACGAGATCAGTAGTGCATGGTGGGTAATTGCAATTAAAGACTTCTAGGCAATTGAAACTGTTATATAATAAGAAGCAGAATGGTAGTATGTAAGCCTAAAACTCTATTCTGGAGTGAAAGAGGTCCGTCACTGCTATTGATAAGGCTTGATAATCTTAAAGCCGTAGAATTGTTTGACATTGTTTGTAGTGCAGCAGGGTAAGTAGTATGACTAATACCCGTTGAAGAGCTGCACACTGAAGAATAATTTTGCAACTCTGTGTACGAGCAATTAACTTTCCTAGGGCAGGCATAAGAACGAAAAGAACTTTAATATATTGTGAATGAAGTAAGCAAACAGTTGACGTGAATGGTCCTAACAAAGTGAAAAAAAGATACCGCCCCGTGCACGATTGATTGAAAGACAAAATGATGCATAGACCACCATGAGCCGCGGACTCCGGGAAAATAAAATAAAGTTCAGGAAGGAGGCTAGAAAATATTATGAGACGTTGCATGGTTCTGCGTTAGTGTAAATTAGACTAAGCAAAGACAGAGGTGCGCAGTTCCAAACAAATCAAAGCTCAATCTGGACTTGAAGTGTACGGTCGTGAAATTACAGCAAGAAGAGAATGCCACATGACATTGATAGGAAAGCATAGTGCAGGCAGTTCTACACGAAAGGTTAGCTCATCAAAAAACATAGGAAACAAGATAACAGGCATCACAAAGCATATCAGAATAGGGGGGTCTGAGAAGAAAAACCAAAACAGCTTGGGAACTGAGATAATCTGCTTTTCCGCGCGAAGAAACATTAAACTCAAAAGCATCAAACTCATGATGATAAGATGCACTACAGATGATCACACCTACACGAAGTATTGAGGCTCAAGAAGGAAGCGATTCATGCAAAAGCAGCATAAACAAAAGGTCAAATCATCAAAAGCCTAAACTCACATACACCTGCACAAGCTTCCACCTCACATAACCTTCTACAGGAAGTTTGGCCACACAAAACTTCCTTCTGTAAAAAAAGCAAAAAAACAAAACAAAAAAAAACACTTCAGACTAGTATTTTTGATCCTGGTGACGCGAAATTACTGCAATGACGACAGCGAATGACTTGCGAATTCAAAAACCAACTCCATCACCGCAACAGCACAACTGAGCTACAATCGGCGAAAACTACAATGGAGCACGAAACCTAGCCATTCTGATATCAAATGAAAGCTTACAGAAGCGTCCGTTCGACAAGAGGGACGAGAAAAGCACAGTGCATCGCAGGGAGCGATCGAGTATTTCGAGTAGTAAGAGTGAGAGGCGAGTGGAGGGAGCTTGAGACACTGCAACAACGGAGGGCAATGGAGCTGGCGGGAGACCAATGACTGACAGCGGCCTGCCGCCGCGCATGGGGAGCAGCCCCTACCGCCGTGTCTCGATCCGTAGCCCCCTATCACCACAGAACCAGGGGGAACGGGCACAGCCGTCCGCGCACAAGAGCCTTCACAGCTCTCTCTTCTCTTCTGTATATCTCCCACCCCCTTTAAACCAGAAATTCCAAGCTGCTCTCATTCACTCATTCATTCATTCCCATGAGAGGCAGAGGAATTTCAAACCACCATGATGGAGCTGGTCAATTGGTGTGTACCCCCCCCCCCCTTCACACCTCCACATTTTGTATCTTCAGTGTTTTTTATGTTGGTATGGCCTTTTCCCATAATGATGTGTGATTGGACAATGGTATAGTAGTAGTAGTACTGGGCTGGCAGGCACAGTTACAATCACAGGTTCCAAATGGGTGGGTTTGTCTTGGTGTTTTGTAAATGGTGTCAAGCCATCCATCACAATAGACAGCCCAGCCCAGCCCATCCAGCAGCTAAGGAATTTCCCACCCCTCTCAGTGTACAAAACTGACCCTACCCCATAATGAATGAAGGAAGGATCCTTGCCAGCCTTGCCAGCCCATATCCCCCACTTCATCTCTCCCATCCTCCCCGAGCCCCATGATATTTTGTACTCTTCTATACATGTGTGTGTGCATATCTGTGTAAGTATATTTTCATTAATATATGTGTGTGTTACAGAATGGATCTTACAAGTTTGATTCATGTTTCTTAAAGGCATTCTGAAAAAAGGTGAAATTTAAAAGACAATTGTATTGACTGTTGAAGCAACCATTTAGGTGCAGGTAATTTCTATTAAATGTTAAACAATAATTTGTATAAACAGGTGATAGATTGTAGCCATCTTATTGGGGAATAATCAATGTACATTAGTAGTTAAGGCAAGTGGAGTTACCCAATTTGTTGCATGGCTTGATTACACAAGTGTCCACTTGTGAATCATACCAAAAGAAATGTATGCTCATTGTTCTTTGATTTTCTGCTGGAGGACCTTGTTTTGCTGAACTAAAGATATGTGTTGTGAAATTAAAAAATAAATAATGTACAATTATTCGAATTATTGAACCACTTAGAATTTTTGAATGGTGATATTCAAAGGGAATTTAAAATCTGTTTTAATTCCAAGATGTCAATGTTCTCATATTCTTGTAAAAAAATTTGATCAATAAATATTAATGAGTACTTTTTTTTTGAAAACCTTGAAACTTATATTTATGATTTACATTATGGTGGCCTTACATGCCACAACCTTGAGAAGCATAAAAACAATAATAACAAATTGTGATAAAAATTCTATAAGTTCTTAAAATCAATATAGTACTTCAATGAATAAATTGGCCAAACACCAACTCACAACACAACAACAAAATAAAAAAAGAAGAATTAAAATTAAAAATTGCAATATTAACAATGATATTCATAGCTCTATGTAATCTATATAGTAATCTGAAGTTAGATAAACATGTAAATTATGACAATATTAGAAACCTATAGAAGAATTCCACCAAATAAGGACATAAATTGATACTATATAAATACAATAGCACAATTAATTGCTAAAGGCACAAAAGTATATTAATATTATTAAATATTTAATATTAAATATACCTCAATTTTTTTATGAAAGTCAAAAACATATATGTATGAACATATATGTTGCTCCACCATGTCATACAACAAAGTCCTGAGTTGAGTTAAGCATTTACTCAAACTTATACAGACCAAAAATGAATAAACTTTTTACAAGTTAAACAGATTGGTGTGATTTTATTTCAGAATGAAATAATACTACTCTATAAAAAAACAAGTAAAAAAGAAACCTATCTAATATGTCACAAACCATTTCAACAAACAAAGTGCAAGCTAGAAAAACACAAGTATGAAGGTTTCATGCTAGATGTATAGACCTTTCAAAATAGATACCAAATCATTTAAGTTTTTAAGATGTGAATGAATGCAAAGAAATATATATATATATATATATATATATATATATGCATATAGATACATACATTCATAATTGTATGCATATGGATTCATTTTTTTTAACCAAAATAAATTTCTGTAATTATCAATCAACAACTTTACAAGAAAAACTCGTTATGATAAAATTTCAAATATTAAGAATGCACATACAAAAAAGGATGCAGACTATAGGAGGGTTTGTTGAAACAGGACCAAGAGACTTCAGTCTTAGTTTTTACGACCAGAAACTAATATTTTAAGACAGTAAGACCTCAAATTTCTGGCATCATTTGATTAAAATTGATAATACCAATATGGTTTTAAAATATATAATATTATGAAATTTCACTAATGAAGCTATCTTTATATTAGTAATCTTTAGATAAAAAAATATATATTAAAAATATAAATACATACATTCATGTATTTGAGGTAATAATATGTTTTAACCACAAGAATTAAATTACTATCTAATTTTAATAAATAAATTCCAAAAAAAAAAAAAAAAACCCCAAAACTCAAAACCAAAACCAAAGAAATATCATCAACAACAAGCTTAAATTATTATTATTTATTTTATAAATTTATAGCTTTAAGTATTTTAAGAATGAAAATCTTGATATTAAGATTGAACTTTATATTACATAGATGCAATAATAATTTAAGATAACGAATAGACTTTATTGTTAAGTTTACAAAAGTTTTGATAGTTTAAAGAATGTAATCTTTTGGTGTTATAAAATTATAAGTATTATTCAACTTCTAAATAAATTTAGTTAAAAAAATATTTTTTTATGGTAGTTATGATTTTATATGACATCCAAATTAAGATATTTTTACATCTAAAAATCTATTTTCTTAGGCTTTGGTACAAAAGTCTTACAAAGGTTCTTACAAAGGAAAACTTTGCAGATTACAAAAATTCAAAATCCTACCTTTTGAGAATTTGAATTGTATCAAAAGTTGACCTTTCATAAGTTTAACTATACAGAAACTCAAACCACAAATAATAAGTGTCCAATACAATTTTGAATTGAGAGGCAATTATCATGTACAAGAAATTAATACAAATGATTTAAGATGTGCTTTCAGACAGTACTTTTGTCATTGTTTCATTGATAGATACATATAAATTTTCTTCATTTTTTTATAAATTTCAAGTTCAATATATTTATTTGAGATAAAATTTTCTGCATGTGTTCATATATATATATATATACATATTGCAGAGATGTTTTTTTTTTTGTAGAAATCACATTGCAAAAAAGTGCTTATTTGGAGTATATGGGAAAACTCAGACAATTGTCCTTGTAGGATACCACTAGGCACCACCTTTATATGAATACTTGCCCACAAGTACCATGTATTAAAGCCATTGAAAAAGACAACCATCACCTTTTGTAGTATTTACATGTTCTTTATGCTTAGTTGGTAGATGACTACATGAGAATTGAAGCCTTGATTGCAACCCATTTCTCATCAATCTTTACATGCAAAAGGTCTGTCATTTGATGAGCCAATAAATTTCAACTGAATAAAATTCAAATATATATATATATATGTATATATTAGCCTTATTCAAATGTGTTTTTTGTTTTTTTTTTTTTCTTTCTTTCTGGGGTTTATTTCACCACAATGCTACTGTTGAGATTTGTTTTGTGATGAAGACTGGCTGACACCCACAGAAAGATCCTTTTCCATCAGAAGGTGGGCTAAGTTGACAATAACACCACTCTAACACAAAATCAATGGGATAAAAGTTGAAAACTGGTGGCAGAAGTTAGATCAATTTCCAAACAGGAACTACCCAATAGCTCTATGCCACTTTCAGTGAAGTGACAGTCAATAAAAAAATGCAGCATGACACAGCATATCTGAATCCACCTGGTTCTACCATTCATGTCAACACAAATGTGTGTCTACATGAGTGTTTAATGCAATTTCATTTCTAACCCATTTCTTGAATCAAGTGAGCTGCTGAATCTGTAGCTCTGTCATCTTCAAGGTGCTGGGTAAAGTCATTTGCATGAAGAGCATCAGACATGCTTCCACAAATGTGATTCATAAAGAATAAAGAGGGCATAATGTACCAAGAAGATAAACAAAACAAGAGAAACCAAAAATAAATGGGTATGATCAATTCTGAATTCACTAGCACACAAATCCTAGTTCCCTTCCTTCATTAGCTGCTTCCAGTGATGAGCTTCATAATCTTGAGCAGATACATCCTTCTCTGATGAGTAGATGATACAGAGACATCCTAGCACAGTTTGTTTTGCAGAATCCCTTGCACTCTTCATTTGCAACATAGTAAAAATAGAGTAATGCATACTCATAGTATCAAATGCAACTTTGTCCTCTTATTACCAGCAACTACATGAGCTAAACATTAATAAGGTGCATGTACAAACACCTAACATCAGACAATAAAAGAAGAAGATGAGGTGATGTGGCCATACATTTCACAACAGGGAGAAGAGACACTGCTACATTACCTTTGGCCAAGCTGGATCCCTGCCCTTTCCAAGACAGACACCCAACTCAACCTGGAACAATTTAGTTGTTCTATACCTCCATTTAGTCTAGGCAACAGGAACCACACAAAGGCTGGAATAGCAAAGAAAGAGGCTGTGTACTCCTGCAACCAATAATCAACAGCCAGAATGTAATAAATTCAAAAAAATTAAAAATTAAAAACCATTTTGATGTGCACAGTGGTGCAAGTATGAAGCTACAAACAACAGGACATAAGGAGACCTAAGAACAAGTAATTCTTAACATAGCTTGCGCTAATAGGTTTGGTTTACTTACATTTCAGACCACTGAGGAACGCGTGATTTGACCTTGTTTGGTAACGAACATGTAAAAGGGTAGAGCTTTGGCGGCAAATAGAACAAAGCCACTTTCGCGAAGAGACTGAAGCAAATAGTCGTCACTGAAACAGGAACAACAAGCGTCTCATTAACTTTAAAACTGTGTCGCTGACAAGAGACATTTGCTTTTAGTCCTGGATAAAAAAAATACAAGACTCCATAAGGAAGGGTATATCTAGGAAGTTGAAAACTAGATAATGATTGGAACAACTTTAAGACTTTATACGTCTTCAAAATTAAAAACAGAACAAGAGACAGTTTCAGGATTACTATTCTGAAAAATTGCTATCAGCCATCTGTCACTAGAACAGGTTCCATGCTCTGTGAACGGAAAAGGAATAAAAGGATAGTAGGCAAGGTGGTATATTAACCGAAGCATGCTTCTTAAAATAAAAACCCCAACAAGGTTGATGCCTCCTCTCCCCGACCAAGCCAATCCACCGCTGTTCGCTGCAGTGAAAGGAAGCTATTAAGAATGTTCCCTTACATTTGCAATTCAAAATAGCAGTAAATTCCACACTCAGTAACGGCATGCACTAAAACATTGCATTCCTTCAAGATCCAAACTTCTCATTAAATTGTTACAGGGTTCTTTCAGATACACATAAAGAAGTACAAGCGCTTCTCAGAAAACCCACACAGTGCAAACCTGAAGAGGAAGATGAGCCTAAACATGAATTTACTGTATCGGGAGCTGGCAACGAATTTGCCTACAGGCTCATCAATTTCAGGATTACCATCAACATGCAGCATGACATAATACGTATGATTCGGCTGCCTGGCATACATTGTAACAAGCAGTAAAGTGAACAAAATGACATTAATCACTAATTTAAACTGCATTAGCAAGTTCATAGTGCAGAGAGAGCAGAACTGCATGTATCAATCCCAGATAAACGAGTTTCGTAGAGTAGCTTGCCTTAGTGTTCTCACTGTGAGGTGGTACTTCCAAAAATGGCGCAAGTTCCTCTGCTAAGACTTTGCCTCCTAGCCGAGCTGTGTGTCTGAGACATTAAAAACCAATCCAAGAGATCGCATACAACACATTCAAGAATTTGGAGGATGTGAGAAACCCCCAACTTATTGCTACAGAGCATATTATGGATAAACCTGAAAAAGAATAAAGCTTGTTGGCCTCTACCACGCACTTTCTACCAGAAGATAGAATCACAAGTATTGTACTGTAGACAATGAGTATTGATGGAAGCAATGCAGTTCCGAAAGAAATTCGTATATATATATATATAAATATATAGACAAAACAATGCGTTGAGAACAAGTGCTTGACCAAATGAACTGAAATTTGAGAATTTCAGCAGATTCTCAGTATGTCACCGGAAGTAATCTATTTACTACGGGGGTGTCGAATATGAATTAGAGAAGAGCGTGAAGATCTTGCCAAGAAAAACAATAAAATCACCTTGATCTTTCCCAGTAGAGATTCGTACTTCATTCTCAAATAGTTACTAATGAGATTAGATTGGTAGTCTTCACGCACAACGTAGGGCACATCACCTTCATCTGAAACCCATCACACCGTGACTCGAAATACCTCCGAATGAATGCTACAGCACTTTGACAAGTCCATCCTTTCCAGTTTCTATCAAAAATAGGACATGCTCTACAGCACTCAGATGTGACACACCTCGTAAGCAATGGGGCGAGGTCATGAAATACGAAGTTTTCACAAGCGAGTTGTGTAGGACTAAAACCTTCAGCTGGTCAGTGCTTCTAAAATCCTCCAGAGTCTAGTGCAAGGGCTTGTAATGCAGTGCCTGCTTGTATGAGCTTCAAACCAGCACGCGATACAACATCCCCTACTGTTACTCGCCTCCCAAGTTCATCAACTGATTTCTTGGTTCTGTCTCGAACAAAATGTAACAGTAATTCCGTGTTGGTAGATTTAGGTTTGAAGGCTTGCAAAAAATCTGGGGCGTCGTTATTTTCGTTCTCGAATTGCTGGAGTAACGGGAACTTGTAACTTTTTCCAACTTTTCCTCAAGCATTGTGGTAGGTCCAGGCTTAGTTGCTTACTTATTACATTTCTACAGGAACCTGACAAATGTCGCGTGGAAAGACGTGATATCCTAAACACATCCTTCGCTTTGAGAGCGACTCCGTGGCCTATTAACCTCTTGATCGAAACGTTGGTCCATATGATTTAGGTGCATGTCTAAGCTGATGAGCTAAGATAAAAGGAAGCCCGGAACATCCAGCCGAAGAAGAAGTGCTCGTAGCCGGAAGTGCAGCATCGATGATAGGTGCTGACGCTGACCGCCAGTCAATGTGTTACGGTTTTCTGAACAGACGATTTTTTGTCATGAGTAAGATTCCGGTGATTGAGGAGAAAAAGAGTCATCACTTGTGTATACAACAATTACGACAAAACCTCGGGTACAAGCAGATATTGAACAAAAGTTGCTTAAACCCCGCAGAATGTCATGAAAAGTCTTCTTTGTGAGTAACTAACAGTAACAATTCCTCAACGTAATCATTCCATGTTATCAAGAGGAGCAGTTCCCAATTCCAACCCAAGACAGACTTAAACTGCAAACCAAACCACTAGCCCCTCCTTTCAGCTATTCAACATAGCTCGTGCATGTACGTCCATGCAAACACATCCCAGCGCAAGTTTGTTTAACGAAATCTACAACAGCAGAAACCCTATGTTGCATTTAAAGGGCACTTCCCCGATTTATGAAGAAAAAAACTCATTAGCTGCCATCACCCTCACCATCCAACTCCGTGCCACTACTGAATATTCTCAATCACTGAAACCCAGTCTAGAGTTTAGTAATACTATCCCAAGCAGAATCATATACCTCATAAAAAATCATAACTGAAAATGAAACCTCATCTTTATGTGTATAAACATTTATATATATATATATATATATATATGTGTGTGTGTGTGTGTATGTGTATGTATAGATATAATTGTACACGTACACTAGTGTTATGGAAGTAAATGAATTTCCAAATTTGCAATTCTGCATAAGATAATAGCGAGGAAAGAAGGCACCAAAACGAAGCAACAAGCGGAGCCATTCCGATGACACTCCGATGCTACTCTGTCACCTACTCCTGAGAACCTTCTTCAGAAAAACAGCTATCTCCTGCATGTTCGATATTAAGTGGAGCATCATATCTGTTGTAACTTATCGCTGTTACTTATCTGTACCCTCGTCGTTAGGACACTAAAAAGGTATCTTGGGTATCAAGATATTATCCACTTTCGGAGAGAATCGGTGACTCTGATGACTAGAGATCCTGAGCCGATTATTCACCACTCGACAGGTGACTAAAATCCAGTAGAAAAGAGATGGCGGCTGAACCTGGACACCATGTTATTGTCTCACCCGGTTGGACTAGAACTTGTGTTGGAAGATGCCACACGTGGATCACAGCAAGGCTTTGTTATTTCATGGTCTGCAAGTGGTTGTTGCTTCACTGGATCTTGTCAAGCACAAAGATAAAGCTATGAAGACAGTTAGCTTGAGTTGGTATCAGAGTATTTTCGCACAGGCATGATAATTACCGACTCTGTTTTTCAGCAGAAGAGTGTTGTGAAGTGGTCTCTGGGAAGAACATAACGGAATTCGCAAACCAAATTTACTCTTCAGAATATTTTTGAAGTAATAATCTCTTCACAGAAGCCGTCAGATTGAAATCTTGAGATACAACCAACTCGAGATTCATTGGAACCCATACCGCCTCTTTACAACTCTTTTCATAGTATGAGAAATTTAGCAGGGCAGGTTCTTTCGCCGCAGTCTACCGTAGCACCAACACTGACAGATTGCGTCGACCAGATAATTTACCGCTTACTAACTACAACTGAAATAATGATACAAAGTCCATTGACCTCAACACGCGTGTTCTACAAAACATCTCTACGAACTCTGTGCACCCGAGTCCTGTCAACAATCCTCTTGAGAAAATTTGAGGAGCCTTCAGGCCGCATGGCTCGATTTACGATACAAGCTGTGGCAATTTTGGCCCCAAGGGATGCAGAGCCTTGAGATAAAAATACTGCGCCCCCAACTAACAGCAGCCCCTTTGCCAGCTTCCTCTGCGACGATTGCCGACCAAGTTGCCGCTTGTCACTACCTTCTCTCTGGTACCCAACATTGGTGATTTCTTGACGTGAGTTCGACCCCAAACCATACGTCGCCTGCAGTGATTCAGGTACCTGCAGTCCAGCAGCTATCTTCAGATTGTAAACAGACACACGACGTATGCGAAATGAAACTAAAGATTGGACATGTCAGTCTTAGACCTCTCTTTTCCAAGACACGCATTCGGGTAGCGATAACGATTCCCAGTATTCAATTTCTTCCATCACGGTGCATGCTGAGGAAGAAAAAACGGTTATTCAGGTGCAAACTTCCTTATCCATGCACGACAAACTGAAATTCGGCCAAGCTTTCCTAAAAGAACCATTTTAAGCATTTCGTGAGAACCACGCCTGGAATCAGAGTGTAGCAGCTAGGCACCTTCTGAGCAAGAGAGACAGCATTAACTGAATCCTTTTTCAGCTGACCATAATTTGAAACGTAACGTCGGAGCTGAGTGTCCATCTTAAGTACATAACTCCAAATGCCACGCTTGAAAGCTACTTTAGCCATTTCTCGCTGCATGCCTCCATCTTCTTGATGAATCATTTTAACTTCGACTGCTGCTCTTCCAGGAACTAGATCGAGATAAGCGAAGAGTACAATGATCAGTTTTGGAGGCGACGAACTTTACTTCACTTATGATTCGGCGATAGATAAGGATTCGTTCGAACGACTTCAAAAACTTAACAAGTGCTTGTACAAATGCATGACGACACTTTAATGAAAATAGAACGTCGATCTAAGATTGAAAATGGTTAACTATTATTAAACCATGAAGCATCAAGACTTAAGGTAAAGTTACCAAACCTTTCTGGATACGCCACCCAGAATTATAAACCTCCACACGCTTGTACTTCACCTGGTTCGGAGCATCAGGATGCTCGCACGCCTACCCAATGAACGTGACCATAAATCAGCTTTACCATTGTTATACGTCATGTATCTCCACAAAATTCTACTATTCTTCCGAAATTCAAAAAATGCTCAGAGAGAACTCATGAAGCATTACCACGTGCATATTCCTCACGAACCGAAAGCTAATTTACCTTGATCACACAATAATATGACTCGTCTTCACCCTCCCAAAGGCGCCACGCCAGGACATACTCCCTTGCGGTCATGAGAGGAAATTTCTTAACCAGAATTCCAACCTCCGTCCCTGTTACCGAACAAACTTCCAGCTGCTTATGCTGCACTAAAGTTCTGTCCCACCCTGCTTTAAAGTCACTGTCCATGTAATAGTCGCGCACCACTTGAGTTGAACAATTTTCGTGCACTGTGGTGCTTAGATATTCGGTCGCTCCTCCATCCTGCACGCCATCGAATTCAGTAAGCCACAACAATCTCATCGAATCTCTCAACTACATCTAATTAATCAAACGTCAGAGAACAAAAGAATTTGAAACGCAAATCGGAATACCAACAGCAAAGATATAGCTAGTGATAATTTTCACTTAGAACACTGAGATTATGAGCTAAAAAGTGTATCAAGATGTTGTGGAAAATCAGTAAGTAATTCAGCTAGTTAGGATTTGTGTGGAACCTTTGGATCTCGCCGTTTAGCAGTGTAGCTCACGGAATCATTCTGTTTGTCAATGACCTGTTCCCACTGGCTGTTTTCACCATTATCATCCTGAGATAAAACTGACAGAACCTGCGCCAAGTCTTCCTCCGTTACACGAGTGGATGCTGCAGATCCAACTTTCGCAATTCTGCAGACATCGAAGTTTTTAGTCAATAATCACTCCCAGCAAACGAGCTCTAAAATCCAAAAATCTCTACCACGAGGTAATTGAGCAATACACTTGTTTGAATGATTACAACTTTCTTTATCTGGTTTTTCTCTTACTCAAACCCCTCATGCGCTAGGTACCTCTTGTTCTAGCTAACCACACCCATTGCTAAATATTATTTCAAACAAACCAACAGCCAGGACGAGGAAATCCAACAAACGTTTCACGAACAGATCATTCAAGAGAAACTTAACAAAGACGACTAATTCTACTGACATCCGCGGAAAAGAAAGTGAAACAAAGAGACATGACGACCCCCAACATTCAAAAATCATTTCTGCGTGTTCCAGCCCTTACGTTGAGAGAGAAGCTTCTTGTGATTTAACGACAGGTCGCCGCCAAATGAAGAAGATTGCCTTAGACAATGAAAAGACGCATATGATTCCAAGTGCAAGCCATGTGGTCCACACTGTTGTCCAACTCATCCTCGTCCAATCGTCGCTGCCCGACATGTTCAATCCACAACTTGCCAAAGCCCTTTCGTCCACTACATAGTACTTGCTCACTCCCATTTCGGTCGTATTTTGTTAGAGAGAGAAGATATACGATTTCCACTACTTCTGCGTCTGAACTCTCTACCAGACTATCAAGAACCCCCCCCCCCCCCAGATGCCCCAAGTCTTGTCGCTGTCCTTTTCACTCTCATAAGTCACGACTCCTTTCTGTCTGCAAGATATCCTCTTCTTTGCATCACCATATTGATGAACTTGGTCTTTGCTGCGTTCTTCAGCTGTCGCAAGAGCACGAGTTGTGTTTGATGATTCAGAATGAACACATTTCACCCAAGACTCCGATCCAATTCTTCTTGTGTTCTTGATTTCGACTACATGACAACTTCAAAGCGCAAACGGGGAAGGTTGCCATGAGCTTGAAACAAAGCATCTGGAACCAATCGTCCTCGCATACACGCGAATCCCAAACTATAGGGAAATTCAATAGCTTTTTCTTGTTCGTTTGAAGACGCAAAATCTTCTGCAACTGGAATAGGAACATCAACAAACGTATTGTTTTAGGTTCGGAAGAAACTCCCGGGCTTCAGTAAGAAAGAAATAAAAAAAGATAGTCAAGTTCAGACGCACACTAAGCTGTAATCTTACACAAACGAAAACCACAAACACGCAGAGTTCGATATACACACAACTCTGCATCTAGAACACGTGCAAGGAAGGAGATGAGGGCAATCGGCCACAAGGAAACAAAATTGCGATAGAAAACGACCAAAGAGAGATTGATTGACGGAACGGTGACACCTGAAAGGACTCAGAGGAGGGAGTAGACATCACAGAGCCACTGAAAAATGAAATACAGAAGTAACGCCTGCAAAGAAGCCAGCCTTGCCGATTTCCTGGCAGTAGCGCTCGACTAAACGATGCCAAACGTGAACAACAAGAAGATTCTTAGACGGAACGGTTGGCTAACACATCCACCTCCAAGAACTATGGAAATGACCATAATACCTTGATCTGAAAGAGGGGTATGATTCAAATTCAGAAAGATGGAGCCCTGCCAAGCACCCATGCAGCAGATTACATTGAAATGAAACTGTGCATACTCCAGCAAAAGGAAGCGCGTGCCCAAAGAGATACAAAGTCTAGTACACAGTAGCCTTAGCGGAAGAAGAGTGTGAAGAAGAAGCAGAAGAAAAAGGAACATCCAGTAAAATTCCACGGCTGATTACAAAACAAGAAGCAAAACAGAGAATCTAAACACGACACCCAGTGCCGATTTCCGATTGCACGTCTCTAAAAGGCTAAAAACAGAGACCAATTCCTACATGTGCCTCGCTCGCTCTCGCTCTCTCTCTCTCTCTCTCTCTCTCTCTCTCTATCTATCTCTCGTTCTCCCTCCCTCTGCAATCCCCAGACCTAAACTACGCCCACTCCGAAACAACGCTTCGAAGCAGCTACAATCTCAAGCATCACCCAGGATGAAACTCCAACCAACAAAAAGAACTCATCACGGATTCCAGACTTCTCAAAATGAAACCCAACGCTCACCGTCCACACATGGCCGCTGGGAGCAAACCCGACCTACGCCACTGCGAATCCTCACAACCCAGAAACCACAAAAGCCATTGTAAACCGAGACAGGGCCTGGAATCTGGATCGGCAAAGAAGGAGCTCAGAAACTCCCCGCAAGGGTGAGAGCAGGGGAGGAGCGGAATCTAAGACCGGTATGCCATGTAGCACGACGGAGCGATTGTGAATCTAGGGTGTAGTATCGGTCCATCTCGGGGGACATCAGGCGTTGTCCGGTTCTAAGCGCCCACAACACACAACACGACACATGGTGCCAGGAAAACCATATCCACGCGCAGAACCCGCACCGGAAAGGTCGATAAAAGCTCCGTATGCTTATTATACGCTTAATGGGTTGGGGGGCGTAATTGCAGCTCCGGACCCGTGCAGTCCCCCAAAATCTGAGGACGCGACGAGACGCGACGGCGACCACTCGTCGGACTCCAACGGAGGGCAACACTCCCCTTCTTCTTAGTCTTGCTCCTCCTCCTTCTCCTTCCTGCTCTTTTCGCAGCCCAATGCGAAGAAAGAAGACCACAACACTCAAGGCTATGTATGCATGTCCGGGACTGTTGATTGAGAGTGAGTGGACATCACGTCGAGGAGGAGATTGAGGGTGCCCATTGCGCAAAAAGCTTGGATTCTAGCTTCATGAACGCGCCACGACGCCGCAGCAGCAGCAGCAGATTCGAATCTCGGTGCCATTGCAACGCTGCCCCGGGCCGGGCCGGACTGGGCTCGTTGGTTTCTTTCTTCGCCCGCGCAGTCAGGGTTGGATGAATGATCTAGGCTGTGCGTGCGATTTGGATGAATTTATGAGTGCGTGGGTGGATGAGTATGAATTTTGAATTGGTTGTGGATGGAGATATGTTGTGTCGTTATCCAATCTAAGACGAGTTAACACACATGGAACATGATATGTGTTACTATCAACACATATACATAAGTATTTCTGTATATATATATATATATATATATATGTAAATATTTACATTCTTTACTTTAATTCATGGGTAATATGTTGCAACAAATTGTTAATGAATATTCATATACCATATAACATTGAAACATGATGCTCACAGTTTTAACCATGAATCAAATAAACTTACTCATAAATATAAAAAAATTGGAAAATTTATTTTTTTAAAGTAAATGTATTAGAATATTGACAACATATATATATATATATATATATATATATATATCATTTGAATCTAAACTCATAAACACCAAGTTCTAATTTTATCTTTTTCTTTATCATTATTTTATGCACTCTTACATGAGTATTAATTAAATATTTCTATGTACAATAAATTACTCTATGTCAAATTATAACAATTTAAATTTATTTAGACTTCTAAACTAATGAATTTGTATTTTTTATATATTTATTTATTTTTTTTACATTTTTAGTCAGTAGCATATAAAAAAATCAACAACAAAGTTTAAATTTGCTTAGAATGGTCTTATGAATTTTTGACAAAAATACAATACAAAACTATCTTTTAGCACAAAATTACTTTGTGTATACAAACAAAAACTTCTTATTTTAATGAAAAAATAGATATATACATCTTATAAAATATGTTGAATCAATATAAGCAAATATAAATTGAAAATTGAATTTATTTTACTAAAATATGCATAACTCTAAATAAAACATTTTATATAGTAAATCAGAAATTAAAATTTTATTGCATTAAATTAAAATTTTAAAATTACATACAGTATCTAAACATATGAAGAAAAAAATAAGGAATTATTATTCTAAAAATCTTAAAGTGAATATTCTGTTTTACTAACAATTAGTTTTAAATGTTGAATTTTATATTATTATTATTATATATTATTAATTTTTACAAAAAAAAACCTTATTAAACATTAGGTAGAATTAAATTAAAATCTATAAAAATATACAATTTTTTTCTTATGTATGTATATATATATATATATATATATATATATACACATATATAGGAAGTTAAAAAATACTCAATTTGTTAAATTTGGTTTAATAAATTTATTTAATCTTATTAAGTTTAATCAACTCCATTAATCAAGTTGAAGCTAATATTTAAAAACACAAGTTATTGATAACAAGGTCGGTCTTAGTATATATGTATATATATATATATATATATATATATATATATATAAGTAATTAAAGAAACTAAAAAATACATTGAAAAAAGTTTACAAAATATAAGAAATATAAATTAAAAATAGGACACAAGAAGATAAAAGAAAAAAAATGAACAAAATATGGCTAAAATAGCAATGAGGTTTGATAATTTATAGAGTGTCTTTAAGATGATTAGAGTTGATATTGTTTCTATCAAATTCTTTAGTAGGAATCCTAAAGGAATATTCGTATAATAAAAAAATAAGTCTCTCATAGTTTTTATGAAAAAAAAAAAATTGGTTTATTAAAAATATAAAAATTAAATAAAATAAAAAACTACAAAAACAAACAAATAAACAAAAACAAAATATGTTTTTTTGTTTGTAAATCAAATAGATATGTATGTACAGTGGCAGCATAATTAAATAGAATTGTTTTTTTAAAATCACATTTTTTTACATATATAATATATAACAGGTTAAGTTTTAATTTCAAAAAAGATTAAAGTTGTAAATGAAAGTGTTTGTATTGCTTCACAAAATGATATAATTGGTACCATTCCAGAAGAACATGTCAAAAGAAAGACAAGGAACAAATATTATTTATTTTAATTAAATCAATTATTAAAATATATTAGTTACATAAATAGATCAAAATTTAATAGAGATAATGCAACCAACTCTCTTAAGAAAACTAAGTACCAACCATGTGTTGAAGATATCAATTAATTGGTGCATCAATTACATATTGCTTTGGAAAAATAATTATTATAGCAAAAGACACTAGAAGAAAGATTCTAAATTACTAATGAAAATAAATACGTCATGATAGTGCCAAAATATAAAATTATAATTAAAAAAATAATCTATTGCTAAGTATATTATAATAATTTTTTTAAAAAAAACCTTTTGTAGATATAGTTAAATGATTCTAATTGTATTTTGTAACTACTTCTTAAGATTTACATTCAACTATTAGCAAAATTTTAATTTAAAAACTTCAATCCATAAATAAGATTAAATCAAACAAAAAAATGATATTGGCCAAAATTCAAAAATGTAAAATAAAATAAAACAAAAATAGAAGAACCAACAAGAATATATGCCCTACACTACAAATGATGTCTTCAATAATTTTTTCTTTTATATACACATCTATTTACAAGACTATCTGCATATAAAATCATTCCACACATATATCCATCCATCTTCTCATTGAAGTCTATATAACCTTCTACACATCTAAGTTGTAGGGAATTAGTGGATAAATATGGAATTTATTAAGATTTGAAGCTTTCCTACATAATGCATTGTCATTGAGTCTACTTAAAGGCAATCATCTTGTGGTATGACATAATGTTTCTATGCACCTTGCATTATAATGTAATCCTAAACATTGTACTATAATTATAATTATCTTTCCAATATAGAATCATTTTTATTAATAGATTTTATAATAAGTTCTATAGCAATACATTGAGCAAGATTAGTATATATGAGAATATATAATGAAGAGAATTAGTATATTGACTTTTTAAATTGTATGATATTAATAGTAATAAATTTGTGAAAAATATTTTTATTGTGTTTGTGCTATCTTTTACTTTTGTTAGTTGGACATAGCTCAATATTAAAAAATTATCTCATCAATTATATAAATGATTGATTAAGAAAACTAGCAATGCAACTTTAAAATATTACTTGCTTTTTTTATAAAGTAGTTATATTCATTTATAACATATTTCAAATATAATCATATATGTTTATTAATTGATTAAAAACTATTATAGATGTCTATTATTTATATACTTTTCAAAATTATTTATGTATTTTGATGCAGCTACAATAATTAATTTACATATAGTAATAATAAAATACAAAAAATATTAGAAAATATTAGAAAATATTTGATATATAAGAATTATTTCAAATATTATTTTGATATTCATCATAGTTTTATTTTAAAAAATACATTAGTTATTATTTATTCATATATTTATTTAATTAAATTAAATAAATATTAATATAAAAATTATAAAACTTAAAATATATAAATATTTATATACATATATATATATATGCAATTATATTTTATACTATTTATATATTTAAATTGAATTCTATTGTAATTTTTTACTTTATTATTATATATATATATATATATATATAGATATGGTCTTATAATTAACTATTTATCAAAAGAATATAAAAAATAAATCAATTTGATTAATTATATACACAAACTATTTTGAAGATTTTGTTTTCTTGCTTAAGTATGTTATATACCAAAAAAATATTTCAACAACAAGGTCTATTATATTTATATATATATATATATATATATAAGCTACTAAATTTTAAAAAGTTAAAGGTTGAATAAAATAATACTTTAATATCAACAGAAGTATTAAATTTACAAAAATAGTATTTGAGATTTTTTTGTAGGACAAAGACACAGTTTTGAATTTTAATGAATAGAATAAAATGACATTGTTTAAAAGCTTTAGTAAGGTCTCATGCTTGGTGCAAAAAAAATTCCCTTTGGAAGTCTTAACCTTTGAGTATAATATAAAGTGAGAAGATGGCATATAATGAACCAAGTGAATTTTTGATTTTAGATCTAGATATATTATTTGGTATGCTCAAAATTAAGATAAGTAAAAAAATATTATTATCATTTTATTATTTTATTATTTTATTACTTTAGATTTTTTAAGGATTATTTTGAGATAACTTGTTGGTTTTTTCTAAAAAAACATCTAATTAAGATAGAATCAATATAAACTCTAAGAAATAATACTATTCATGACATGTACATAAACAATGCATTCTACCTCAATTTTTCTTCT